AAAAAAAAAAAAAAAGACTTACTAAAGCACAAACATAAACATGATTACTAGTGGGAACAACACTGAAAGTCGATCGAAGGAATTTGGTACTTCTCAAGATGTCGAATAAACAAATGTAATCAGAACAAATCACGACTACTAAGACTATGTTCTACAATATATTGTAACATTTTGTACGGTGTGTACTGCAGAAAACAAACAAAAAGAGGAACCAAAATTAACCACTAGAATCAGGTTTCGACTGAACACCAGAATTTGGCAGGAAGTTTTACTATTGCATTTGCAGGGAGTATCAGGAAATTGTAAAAGAGTGAGCTTTCATTTGCTTTAAACAAAACCGAACAGAATAGAGCAATATCATTGACCTATACGCTTTTGGTATATAATTGCCTCAAGGATCGTTCTGGGTAGTTCACAATTTTTTGTCATGTTCTTTTCATTGAATAAAAAAAAATATGAGTTTCGTGCTCTACAAATTATTGACTTTACAATTTAAATTCTCATATCATTGGAGGGTCATGGCAACCATGGACTCCACGTGAAATAAGAGCATTAAAAATAACCCTTTAATATGCTTGTGCATTATAACTCTCCACAACACTTCTTCAAAATATTACAATACTAAAAGAAAGGGATAGCAACATGACTCGAGTTAATTATCTGTCAACAAGACACTCCTCGAAACATCACTAAACAAAAATCGATCTTTTGTATACATCTATAAATAAGAAAAATAGAATAAAAAAAATACAGCAATTGCAGCAGGCTGAATCACAAAACTAGCAATCGAACGGTGCAGCTACTCATATTTTCCCAATTTGAAATCCTTAGTATGATAATCGCATGGCATACTTACCATGTTTGTGTCAGTAAATCATAAAACACGATCATATCAACTAAACCTACCTAGACACGAAAATTTCCCCATAATATATCCTGAAAAAAAAGTCATCATGCTCTACATCCATCATGGCAAATTTCCCACAAAAACACAAGTGTTTCTATTAAAAAGGAATATTTGTGTCTAATTCCAATTTCTAAAGGACAAATACCACAATAAAGACAAAGGGAAACATATATCTTAACATTGTGTATAGCCTCAGGAACACATTATGTTCTTTGTCTACAGTTGCAATCGTAATTTACGGTCGAATTTCCCCAAAAAAAATGCATTTGCAGCCAAAAATTGCATTCAATTTCCAAACAAAATACCCAATATTTAAAAGATTCCACCTTTTCACAATTTCTCCGCAACCAAAACGCTTAAAAGCAAGAATCAAGAACAATACCTAAATAATCACAAAACTTCAAAACAAGAAAACACATAATCAAACAAAAGGATGAAAAAACAAGAATCAAGAACAATACCTAAATAATCACAAAACTTCAAAACAAGAAAACACATAATCAACCAAAAGGATGAAAAAACAAGAATCAACAGAACCCAAGCTGCAAAACAGAATCAGCCGAAATACCATCAACAAAATTTCGAACAACAAATACAGAACAACCCACGTTGAAATGGATCAAACGATGTTATAAATTACAGAAATTTATGAGAAAAAACGAAAAAAAAAAAGAGGGTTGCAGCAGAATATACCAGATCAGATATGCAGCGGCAATAATTTGGGGAAATTGATTTGCAGAAAAGATGACGAGAGAAAAATTTTGCGGGATTAATGTGTGAAGATAAAAGGAGAGATGGCCCTCATATTTATAAAGGCAAAAAGGAAACACCGCAAACCCAAACCCACCGACCGTAAAGTCGTTTCCTCTAGCGGGCCTCATCTGTTTTGGGTAAATAAAATAATATATGGATGGATATATACGGATATTTAAATATACTAGTATTTGATCCTGTGCATTTGCACAGATATAAAACACATTTTTTGTTTGTATTTATTAATTAGACATGTACTTATATCATATAAAAATTATTACTTTTTCTTAAATTATTTTTATCATTCAAAATTGATTGAGATTTAAATTTTATTTTAACCATGCAACGTTTAAAATAATTTATATATTTGTGGCATATATTAAGATGATTAACATAAATAAAAAAAATATTGGTGTTTCTGATTTTTAGAAAAAAAAAATATGTGCCAATCATATTTTTCTTCCAACAATGCAACTAAAAGCGGTTACGACTCTGAATGTGCCAATCAACTTTAAGTTTCAAACATTAGCCGTTACACATTTGAATATTTTGCTACCAAATTTAGAATT